CACCCGAACTGGCTTGGTGCACCTACGTATATTATGTACTACATCCTACACGGTTGCATTTTTGGTTGATATATTGTTAGGTACTTGTCAGGTACAAGAGTCAGGGGTTATAATTTAGAGGGGTGTGCATCGCGTCAAAACTCATATTCCACCTGTGGTCCAAATTTCCAAGAAGTCCCCGAAGGATTTTTTTTCATTCTCATTTTTACTGCATAATACTAGTAAAACTATCCAACCTTTAAGCAGTTACAGTTTTATCAAAAATACTACTATTTTAATTTTTGAGTAGCCAGTCCAGTCCAGTTTTTAATGACAATTCTGAATATACCATTTTGTTGGATATTCAATTGATATTTGTGGTACTATTTTACTATTGAAAAATGGACATAATTTCCATCATACTAGTAGTACTAGTACTGCTACTACTAGCTAGTACTTCTACTAGTATGATCAGTTTCACCTTAGTGCCAGTTGTAACAGTAGTAATAACAGTAGTAGTAACAGTATTAGCAACAGTACTAGACGGTAGTAGTAGTAACTGTACCTTCGGGGACTTTTTGGAAATTTGGACCACACGTGGAATATGAGTTTCACTTTTTTTTTCCATGCTTTGTGATGCGCAAAAAAATTCAATGCACGCCCCTCTAAATTTATGACCCCTGACAAGAGTACCGTGGGGATAGACCTGAAACGCAACTAATTTTGCAACAGTCGGAAAATCATGTACAATCGTACATAGCTGTAAATTTGTGTTGATTCCTACTACTGCCAAGCAGCACAGGCTAAATTTTGATGTCCTCAAGAGGAACATGAATGTGAAATTACACATCAAACTTGGTGAACAATTCACATTGGTTAAACACTACTAGTAGTATATGTAGTAGTAACTCATCAATTTCCGCCAAGAATTAATGATATTGCTAACACAAGAAGAACTGTTCCTCACAAATTACTACAGGGAAGAACAAGAAGATCTTTGTTCTTGTAAAACATCATGTGGTTTTAACCTGTGACGTGGTCTTGCACAAGAGGAACAAGCAATCATTGGATTTATGCTGTCATGCTGCTTTCTTGTTAAAGAGTTAACTACTACTACTACTACTACTACTACTACTACTACTACTACTACTACTACTACTACTACTACTACTACTACTACTACTACTACTACTACTACTAC